TGAAACGTTCGCTGTTTTATAATATTATCGAGACACGATTGTGAATTGCATTTACCCTTTTCACGTACATACCTACAGCACTGCAGAAAGGTTGAGATTCAGCGTATGATAAAAAAATTGATAAAAACGGTTATAAGAAAAATACAAACGTGATGTGCGGCTTTTAGGTCTTAAGGTTTTGAGCAAATAATGCACGTCGGTGTCACAACCAGCTTTAGTCCGTATCCTTTATCTTGAATCTGTCAGTGTTATTTTTTTTYTTTTACACTTTTATATTTTAAAGAGATTCTTCAATTTTGGAGTAATAATATATATTATAATAATTATTAATTAAGGAATGTTCGAAAACCAAAAATAAACCGATGAAGTCACTTTGCTGTATATTTATTATTTAGTGCATTTTAAAGAGTGTATTGAATTTTTATTAATAAAATAATAATACAAAAACACTCATAACTCATTGCATATGAATATATTTACCTACCGAGCGAAGACACCTTACAGGCTCTATTTCTAAAGATATTATTTATTTATATTGTACTATTATTCACACGGYTGTTTAAATTAAAATTGTTCCCATACAATGATTCTTTTATAATTATTATTTATATAAACTCATAAGTATAAACATCGAAGTAACTTAGAACGGTGTGAATAGGTGAATAGGTGCATTGTGTATAGAGCTTAAAAACTGATTTTTGAAAATAATAATATACGTAATAATGAAAATCCCAAAGCTCATGGGTGCACGTAAGGAAAGGGTTACAGAGACCCACTAGCGTACACAGAACACAGATATATTTAATTGGAGGTATCATATTAAAAAAAAAAATATGTTTACTTATCAAAATATTATTTTTAATTGTATTTATTTTTATTAGATTTTATGGTGCATGAGAAAATTTAATGATAGTAACGAAACTATTGTAATATATTATTTATTCTTCTTCTTCTTGGCTTTACAATTCTTTAAGAATTTTGGCCGCCATCGTATTATAGTATTTATAGTAATAAAAAAACACATTTTGGGAGCATTTTGAATTTTGGAGACCCAGAACATACAAATGACTTTTTTTATTTTACTGTTTATTTCAATGATAACTTTTAGTATAGTAGGGTAATAGCGACACGCCACTAGTACACTTATAATCGTCCCTTATAAAGATAAAAAAAAATCAATAATCACACGGAAACTAAACTGCATTATTTTCCAAAGTAATAAATGTATAATAAAGTTACACAGAAAATACACTTTCATAATATTATACTTAAATTGAAAATTTGATTTATATATTCCTTAACAATATAAGTTTAATTATTTCGTAATTTGTATTGATTTATTTTAAATAGTAGAATGATGATAACACGGCGTCTTGGATAGGCTATTTAGGTACATCCCGGYCGTGGTTAATTATTTTACCGTTTTACTTGTAGTATGGTAATAATATTTTACTCTATAATATAAATAAAATATATWWTATATGTATGAAAATTTTTTAAACCCAAAACGGTCCCATTTTTGGTCCAAATACCATCGTTATAGTTAACTAAACTGTAAGTTACTGCAACTTTTAATAATAAAATAYTGACAAATTATAAGTATGCATTTATTAAAATTGAATTTATGCATTATAATTTGTATAGTTGTTTGAACCGAAAATCTTTGAGTTCTGATAGAAGATTACATTTTTTTTAGAAAAGCTAAAGACAGTTATGTATTTTCATGAAAATAAAGATAAAGACGTTGAGCAAACAATTTTAGTTTCGTTTTAGTTTTCTGATTTAYGAGCTCTTTAAAAACGATTTATTAACATCAGTGTTAACATACAATAAAAATAATCACGTAATGCTAAAAGCAACATATTTTTGAGGTCGAATCTCTTTGTGTTGAAATTAACCGGTCATACGAATATTTATCATGAATTATTATTTTGTTCATATGCAAATACGAAATAATGCAAAGTTTTCGCATTCCGAGAGCCAGCAAAGGATTTACAKTCGCGTAAAGAGAAATCCAACGTTTCACGGGGAGAAARTAAGAAAATAATATATATTGTCGTATGCGCTATTGTATATGCACTGTATATGGCACTAGGCCTGCTTGAAATGTTTGCTGTGAACCAATCTTGGAGTCAAAGAAAAACAAAATGATTTAGTGAAACGAAATAGGATTTGATGCAGTGAAAAGTTTCTATAAATAAACGATAACTTCAGCACTTGTAACACTAAGAATCTGTGTCACTCGGTGGAAAGCGGTTTGAATTACACAGAAAGACTTACTGACCACATATAATGCAAAATAATAGTGGAAATCTCACAGTGTGCTATCAAAAAGAAAATGGTTTTTGAGTTAACTGTAGTTAAAATATATAGCCATTTTTTTWAAATTTTTACAATATGAAGCACAATTCTAAAAGTAGATCTATTGAATTGTGTCGCAAACTTTAGTTGCGTATAACTACTTTTAAAAAATATTTAAAATACTTAGTTCACGTAGATAGATATCTAAGAGAGTTTTTTAAGATCGAAATTTGTCTGGGTTTTTTGGTAAGAAATATATTGGTGTGATAATTCAAATTATTTTAAAATTCACTGCAGAATTAGAGAACATTAGAATAGTAGCAAATCCTCACAATAATGCACATCCAAGTTTACTTAACTACAGCTAAAATAAAGCAATTTTTTCTTAAAATTGTATAATAAAAATCATARCGGAAAAAGGTAATTTATTGAATTGGGTTACAGACTCGTATATGACCCCAWGTTAAGTATACCTACTCAAAATGAATTACAAATTGGTATATGTCAAATAATTTGACCAACAAATATTTAATTACAAATAGGAATACTTTTAAATACATTCAAAATAATATCTAGTCCACTACATAGGTAGTTCGATATCTAAGAGGTTTGTTTAGAACCAAAATTCGTCTAGGAAAAGATTTTTTGATAAAGATACTTTGGTACAGTTAACATTAAAAATAAAAATAAAAATACATTATTTTAAAACTAAGTGCAGAAAAAGACAAGATTAAAATAGTTTATGTACTTGGAATTTTTTTTTGTATTTTTATAAACATGAAATCAAAAAATAATTATTTTCTACATGTTTCTATAGGTGTTATTATTTTACATAAGTATTTGTATAAACAGGCTTGGGCCGGAATATGAATTTGTATTTTAATAAAATAATACTGATGGATTAAAAACCAATTAATTTCTAGTTTTCAACATATTGAAAAATGAAACAGAATTATTTTTAGTTATGTCACTGTTTTTGCTGGTATTAGGTATAAATATAGACGCTCCATGACTTATCTACTAGGCTGAAAAGCAGTCGAGGATTTTTCACATTTCAAAAAAAATAGTATTGATTTTTTCAATATCTTTCGTATTTCTGTTTATACATTAGACAACTGAATCTAATTATTATCAATTTTTACTTTTTAACTTATGATCGCTAATGCCGGAATATTCTTGATGCATGCCTAGCACTCGCATTTTAGATTTCAAAAATTCAAATYATATTTTTCTCTATTCTTGAAAATATTGAAAAGTTCACATTCCTCTCGAAAGCTGACAGTCGGTAGTTGGTCATTGAGCCGTATTTTATTTTCGTAATTAATCTGACAGTTGTGATTAATCATTGCGTTCAAAAAATGAATTTGAGCTGAGTTCATTAATTCAGAGATGTAYCGAATGCTGAGCATTTTGTGTTGGAAGTTTTGCAGAACGTCAGTCAACAATTGTCAATTAAGTTCAAAGCATTTATATATTATATGAGTTTAATTTGGGCTTTCAATACCTAGTTTAAAAGTGTTAGCACATACATAATGAAATAATTTACACATAACTTACATAACTGTAAGACGAACAATTATATTAAGAAGACGAAAAACCGATAGATTTATATTTTGTACTATTGAAAATCATGGTGGTTATGGTATGACACCTGAGAAATTTAATCTAAGCCAAAAAACGACTATACTGTGTGTTCACCAATTTAGGGAACACTGAATTTCTCAGCTGGATTATGTTGGAACAGATCGAATTCTTTTTTTTATAAKCTTGTGGTACATAAATACATATTTTCAGATAAATTTCAAATTTTAAACCCTCTCGGTACACGAATGCGCAACGCAACTTATTATGTTTTAATAGCAACTGGTATTTTTGATACCAAATTCGGATAGACTGAATTTTTGAAGTCTKAATGACTGAAGTCATTTTTACCAATTAACCATGGCTCTAAAATCAAAATTGACTGAATGAGAGCCTTTCAAATTTTAATAAATAACACATTTTTACAATTCATTATAAAATGCATAATACCATTTATAATTATTTATTATTGGTTTCTTTTTGAATATTTTTTACTTATTTTTTTTTTTTATACCTGTTATAAATAAGATTAACATAATATGGCCAATATGGGTGTAAAATTATTTAATTAAAATTGATTACTACTGTAAAATTGGTAAAAATGACTTAAAAAAATTCAGTCTATCCGAATTTGGTATCAAAAATACCGGTTGCTATTAAAACATAATAAGTTGCGTTGCGCATGCGTGTACCGAGAGGGTTTAAAATTTGGAATTTATCTGAAAATRTGTATTTATGTACCGCTAGMTTATAAAAAAAGAATTCGATCTGTTCCAACATAATCCGGCTGAGAAATTCAGTGTTCCCTAAATTGGTGAACACACGGTATATGTTCACTCATATGGCTTAATCAAAAATTACTTAGAACTATTTTTACTGTGGTTATGTTTTAGTTTTGTGAAAACTTGGTTTCATAAATAAGTAAGAAGATAATAATGAATATCAAATAAACATGTGTCTGCTTTAAAGACATATTTTCAAATATATATACGTAATGACCAGACAAACACTGTGTTTTACGAGTCAAAATGGCTGTGGGAATTGGATATGTTCAATTTAAAAAACTAATATTATGTGCCAAAATAATTGGTTTAAGAATTCTATTTTTCTGTACTTACCGACATATCCGGGAGTTCCACAAGCTGTCGCCATCACACCAGAATCTTCTATCTTGGACAATCCAAAATCACTTATCATGATTTTGCTGTCATCGTCTGTGCTGTAGTACAATAAGTTTTCCGGCTGTAAAAAAAAAACATTAAACATTTCATATTATTATGGTTGATGYTTCACAGCTGTGACTTCAGCAGAAAATATAATATAACCAATATGTAGGTGAAACATTTTCGGACTGACGTCTAGCTTAAGMTTACTGTTAAAAGTGAACAATTTATTACTCATTAATTTATCTTGTTGATGAAAGAAGTTGAAAACATAAAATATAATAATAATAATTGTAAGATAGATTATTAAATAATATAATAGATTCTCAGTACGCAGTTGATTCGTCTGTTCTTACAACAGATTATAARTTTTTACTATATTAAAATAATATTTATAATATTAAATATAATAATATATTTAATTAACATATTTAATATTAATATGATAATATTTTATATTAATAAAATGTTAAGTCTATAATATTTTCCATTTGTATCAACTAAAATATGCAACTAACTGTTTCATAAGTATTCTGATAAATGTTTATCCGAACATGACGTACGATTTTTTTTATCATGAACCACTCATTATTCAAAAAGTATCAGTGTTTTTGAAAATATTTTTTTACAAAGTTTCATGTAGTTAAAAAAACGACGTTTTTATTAAAAATTATGTTTTTTAATATTTTTTATCCTTATAATTTTTTAAGTTTTTACTTTTTTGAATGACAACATAGAGTTTTTATTTCATATTCCAAAGCAGAATATTTTTCTAAGTGTTATAAGTATTTTAAGTTTAGACAAGCGGAGTAGAGGACAAACATTTTGCGGGGTAACCACTCTACTCCACCAATCTAAACTTTAAATACTTATAACTCATAAACTACTCGTCCAAAATTCAATTTTTACGTATCAAAATACTTACTTAGAAAAATATTCTGCTTTGGAATATGAAATTAAAACTCTAGGTTGTCATCTGTATACTCAACAAAACTAAATTTTTTAAATTTTTATTTACATTTTTACAATCAATATTTCCGATATGGAAAATGCAATTAATCCGTATTAAAGTAACGAACGTTTGGAAAATTACAAAATCTTTGAAATGTTTTCTTTTTTTTTTGTATATCAAATAATACATTTAGTGGTTAGGTAGAAGGTAGTTTTAGCCAATAGTCGGTTTTAAATTAAGTTTCTCAAAAGAATACCAACAAACTCAGAATTTTCCATGGAATGTGAAAAAATGAAATAAATTAGGTTTGAATTAAATTAGCGTTAGCGGAGCCAATCAGTTTTTGATCTTTGACAAGCAAAATAAAAATAAATGTGAACCTAATAATACATTATAATATGATATTAAAATAACWACTAGAGATCTAATTAATTATAGCAGTATAAATATTTAAAAAAGGTATTCGGAGAAGATTGATGTCAAAAGGTGTTATATTGCTCTGTATACTATGACATTTAATTATAAGATTTTAGAGATTCATAAAACATATTATACAAAATATTGGCGTCAGAAAATAATAAAAAGCGAACATTATCCAATTTTCTTATTTTTTAAATTACCATCTACAGATTTTAAGTGTCATTCCAGCGATTAAAAATAAATAATTGTCGCTTTTCAATTGGGTCTTATGTCATAATCATAAACATTCGTTAAAATATTGCACTGATGACCATCATTTGTGTAAACCATCACTAAAATGTAATATCAATCAGAGTAATCATATARTATTTTCTATAGTAAATTTCTTTACAGCTAAATAGTTTTTTTCTTTTTTTAACATTATTTCATTATTTCAAAACATAATTGTATTCATTCGACGTAATCATAGCTACCAAACGTTTTTYGGAACAGGGGAAATCTAATGCAAGGGACCCTAAATCATCATAATACAATGTGATAAAAATCATATTTATTCACAGATATAAGTAMGAAATGTAAGCAAATGTCAACATCATTCAAACTCGTGATATCTGCAACTCAAGGTCTACTGCAGGGATGGCGGAATTTTGATAACTGCGTGTCAAATCAAAATGTAGGTATGGTTTGATTTTATTTGCTTCGCGTGTCATAAACTTTTCAGACCTTTTTTTGTTTAAAAATTATTTAATAAAACATAGAAACATGATTTTATTTGTTGTCAGGTTTAGGTATATAATATATTTAAACTTAACAGCATTTACTATTTACTATTACATACTAATATAGTAATATATACACATAATTTTTTTAAATTACAAACATTAGTTTTTAATGAGAAATCTATTGCTGCATTTTTCCAGCTAATGAAGGACCTAAGATTATAATTTAGAGATTTTAATTGAATAATTGCTGCACTGATATCTGTGATTTATTACGATGTATTACAATATTAAGTTCAAATTATCAGTAATTATTTTGGAAGTGAAATAAAAATTATGAATTATATTTAAATTRGTATGTCAGTGAAATAATTCGAGAGTGTTGCAGAGTGACATCCCTGACATGGGTTCACCATCCCTGGTCTACTGMTTTTATAGACCTAATACTACTAGACAAGTAATATATAAACATCAGCATTACTGGTGATGGAAAAACATTTTGCAAGTGATGTAAGCTTTTTTTGGACGACAGGCGTGCATATTTAGGGTAATTACCGTGGAGTTTAGTTTAGGCTGAACATATATCATATGCGTATCTAACCTGTTAATTTGGTATGGAAAATAAATAGACGTATGCATACGTATGAGTAATAGAGTAAYCAAAAAGTGCTCTCTAATTTTYGACGCTTTCCATACGGTTACTACTTGTATTTGTATAGTAGTATAAAGTCTATGACTGCAGTATAATAATAACAATAATATTCTGACAATCACATTGGCGCTATACGACACTAAACAATGWATAAAGAAAATGTTGAAAATTCAATAATTGAATGATATGGTTAAAAAAAATAAGTTATTAATATTATAGTCATAACACGACTCTGCTGTGTAATAAAGAATTTGTACGAAGAAATTTGGATAATTTAATTCTGGCACTAAGGCACATGGTAATTACTAATTATTGATTATTATAGTTTGAGATTATCAATAATTTAGCTATATAATAACAAATGACAAACTACAGACATGAAATAAAATGTTTGTTTTGAAATTTCATAAAGAAAAAGATTTTAACAGTTAATGACCTAAACTTTTTAGGCTGCAGCGGGCCACCAATTATTTTTTTTAAACTCACGTGCTGCATGCGTAATAAAATCATGTAAGACGCAGGAAAAAAATTAAATAATATTAAAAATTGTGTAGCAAATTACTAAACATAGAAATAAATTAAAAACAGATATAAAGTTATATATGCATATGCAATTATCAAAATGTGATCGTGAGYTTCAAATATATACTATAAAGTGCCGAAGTTTGTAGATGACCTTTGTCCTACTTATTCATACAGGACTACTTGTGAAATACTTTTGTAATCTGGAACGTAACTTTCTGGTCTAGCCACGCTAGAAAAGTCGATAGGTCCGTACCTCACCTGATCGGCCACTGTCGGCTTTGGTTTGATTTAGCTGCCCTGTCCATTTCGGAAGTCTAATCAACCTTTGCATGGATATTTATATAATATACCTGTGCATGGAATTGTTTGTTTTYCACACTGGGATTTGGTAGTTCTGCATACGAATCTTGTTCACCATTAAAGTATTTTAACGTACATTTTCATTCATCACCRTCGTTTAGTTAACACATGTGTCGTCCGTTACCGCTGTTACTGTGGTCATCTTCCCACTTTTATTGTTTACCACAATACCGTGATTCAGTGACTTAGCCAAATTGCATTCATTGACTGACTTTTGCGAAGTTATGAATTAATAATGAATGATACTTCATATGACGTCGATACAACGATCTACCTATCAGAAACTATCCACAGTCGAAGTTAGCTCAACTCAGACGACATTCAACAGTGATCGACGTCATCTGACGTAAAATTCAAATTCAGTTCAGTTGTTCAGTTATCATATTTTTATAAGCTTTTCTGGTTTTTTAATTATTCATCAAAGATAAATTATTCATCTTTACCGCAGTGAACAGAACTCGTATATCTTGGAACTTAAATTGTTGCAGCTATTTATGATGTATAATTTATTTTCCTTTGTGCGTCGTTATTTTTGTAAATCCGTTTGATTTTAGGTTGTTCTTTTGGCCGAACTCCAATATCCCCCAATGTGAGCCAACCCACCTCGTTCATAGGGATTCCGACAATAGCGATTAATACTTTGAAGTTTATTTTTAAATATGCTTATTTTAAGTTTGAAATTTAAATTTATCTCACCATTTCATTAAAATTGTATTTATTTAATAAATTAAAAACGATGGTTAGGTCGGTTAGGTTAAAACGCAATAAGCTATTATTTTTGTATTTGATAACAGTTCATAACACAGCACGATTGTATTTGCTTTTGAAAATGCAACGAATTGTTATTATTTTATTTCAAAAAACTTTCAAATTTCTTTTTATTGTTGTAAACAAAATAGCAGCAGAAAAGTGTATAATACGATAAAACTAAAATGTTTTATTCAGTAAAATTTAATTAAAGTCGGTTAGGGTACCTAACGGGTAGTTAAACTGTGCGGGTCGTCATTCTGGTTTTTCTTGGAAACGCCCGTATAGGTTCAACATTTTAACATTTCAACGGGCAGTTTTCCAAAAAAAAAACAAAAAAAAAACAATTACTCCCCATCACTTTTGCATTGGCGCTCATCCTAGCATTCACTTATATATTATAACTATTATAATTAAGGCAAATACTTCAATGCATAGTTCATTAATTTTTTGCTGCTTTAGGATAATGAATTCTAAGTACATAATTTGTTTCACGTGTATTTAAAATATGACACCTTCATTTAATTTTTTTTTATTATTTTCAGCTAATTTTACTGATTTTGAGGGCATATTGTTGATAAATTGTATGAGCTTAAAGTGTATATTAAGAAATCCAAAATATTTTATCGAGTAATATTAATTTCATAATATTTGCTTTAAATAGTTTTTTCGGAATTTTTTTTCATCCATACCAAATTTCCATACGTCAATTTATGAAGGCGTTAATATTTATATCTGTCTTCTACACAATTTTCGTATTTGGTGTCTTACTAAGTCTAACTCAAACAAATTACAACTAATTGAAAAGTCAGTTAATGTAACATTGAAATCGCRTTGAGTAGATATATTAGCTGTTTATTTATTACAAGTGCCTAAGTTTGGAATTTTGTTTTTGTGTTATTTGTACAGTTAAGTTGAGATAAAAAAAGAGTTAAAAAATTACAAAAGTTAAACCATAATTTTCTTCTCGCTTGCGTACCTGTCAAATAAATGTGGATAATTTTTTAAAGGCATTATTTCGTTAAAAAGGCAATATTTTTTTTATTGTTTTAGTGGCATTTCATTCCGTATCTTATTTATAATAATTTATTATTTATACAACGTTGATYTTTAATTTAGTCAAACACACCATATGCTAAATGTATATTCAGAACGTAACCATTTTTATATTCTTTGATCTTTCAGCATAATATTATACGTACAATGATTAATGACCATATTTTGAAAACTATTCTATAATACAGAATCGTAAATGAATACAATATACGAGTGAAATAAATACATTTTAATTTAATCTAAAGAAGTTAAAAATAATATCACTCTTATAATAGGTATACATGATATGGTTAGGAAAATCAATAGGATTGAATTTAATACAAGTCATGATAGTTAGATATTTTGAGCTTATACAATTCAAATTTTCAATATTATTTGAAAGTCTGTGACGTAATTTTAATCTTATATTTATTTGAAATCAATTATTTCAGAACTTAAAAATTTCAAAATTTCAAATATCTTAAGATTCGTCACTAGAATAGTAATTATCATGACTTTGGTGTAAATTTCATGATTTTTAAAATTTTTAATTTTGGAATAGCAAAAAATTAACAAAATTCGAGCTAGACTTTTTAATTTATTTTTAGTTATTTTTACCTTATGTGGTTGGCTAAAATGTTTGAAACTTTCTTTTGTAT